TACGGGAGTGGGGCGGTAGGCTAATATGCCTACCTCCATGCCCATACGACGGAAAGCGAGAGAGTACTTGCATAGCCCACAGAAGAAGAGTCACAGAGCTGAAGACTTTTTGGGGGGCAAACCCCTTCATCCTCGCAACCGAAGCCAAGGCCAGAGAGATCGAGATAGAAAAGAAGACGCGATACAGAGAGCGAGAGCGCACGACTCTTGAACGCAAACTTCTTTGCTGGACGTTTGTTGAGTGATCAATGCCCAAATCATGTGGCAGAAAAGCCAGGGTTCCTCCCAGCTGTAGCGGCCGTATCGCCTGAAACAAAATCATGGACATCAAACGATGAAGTTGCAAAGCTTTCGGTCGGCTTTCCTGTTGCCACGGCCTGTCGCTGTAGTCATTCCTGAGGACCCTCTCAAACTGAGCAAGTGCGATCATCACGAATGAGCCCTGCCCGGATGAGTACGACGACTTGCTCCATACAACAACCCCCACGTCTTATGAAGTCTTACGCACAACCCGACAGTTCGTGATGAAATACTTCGGTTTCTCTTGCTGCGTTATGCTTTTATCGCTGTATGCCTAGTTAATCTGAGCAGTCAAACTGCTTTCATCGACTGCTGCAGTGCTGCCACAGCTCTGACACTGCCATTTTGATTTGGCGATTCTGCGCTAAAGGAATGGCATGCGCACTGCGGCACGAGGTGGAAGCCCGGCATAAGCCTCTGGCGGCCCACAAGCTCGTAGTAACATTCAATGCTGATGGCAAAGTACAGGTGGCAATGCTTGAAATCCTCGACCTCAAGGGTTATGCCTATATACCTGTCCAATGTACATGCATTTAGTGCAGCTTTTGAGCTTATGGGCCACTCTATGGTTGAGCTGGCTGACTGCTACCACTGCTTCCTTCCTGCACTGGCAAGTCAAGGAGCTTGTCAGCAAACATGCGCAGTTGCTGAGCGTGCTCCTGGCAAGTCAGTCGGTGAAGACCGGTGATCTGAGCACCAAAGGCGACTCAGATTTCGGCAACAGCACGGGTGGAAAACTTCAGCTCTTTCACGCCTCTGGCTGGCTCTGCCGCCCTTAGCATTTCAGATGCGCTTACTGCACATCACGCAGAAGTGCTCAAAGAGGGTCGGTGGACATGAGATGCAGGTGAGAGTTTCCAGGAAGGCACTGGCTACTGGAACCTATTCTACCTTGGAAGTACTGAAGAACTAGCCCCGTCGCGATGGCAACGGCTCGAGGTCGCACGCATAACGTCCCTGCCTCGGAGCCGCCCGAGTACGATGTAGCACTTGTACAAGGCGGCCAAGGCATACAGACACTTTGGGAGCACAATGCCTGTCAGAGCAACCCTTAGTTTTGAGGCCTCTACAGCCACTTCGCGCATGGCAGGCAAGGAGAACATCATTCCGCAGGATTCCTAGATCACCCAGCTACATTGCTAGTCTTGGATCCTCCAGGTTCTAGCTGGCACGAAGCATGTCGTTCAAGTTGTGAGGGTCTGTCTCCAGGCACGTTCTAGGCCATCTCAATATGATGGCTGCTTGCTGCAAAATTGTTTCCAGCTGCTGAGGAGAGCAACCGCTGCCAAGATCGTTGATGATTCCGGAATGTCCTTGGCTCTAAAAACTCGAACTATAGGAGTCTGCCAAAGCTTTGCGGCTCCTCCTTAACCATTGGCAAGACAACTGCTTCTAGAAGAGTTGTACTGTAGCGTTGTCAGGACTTACAAATGTAGCGGTCAACACCTGTAGCAAGGTGACCCATCCAGCTGTGAGTGGGGCCATGCGTCAAGACAAGGGGTCGGCGTGTGCATTGTTGTGCTGACGGGGGTATGTAGAGGAACCCTCATGCAAGAAACCCTAAGCCCTGAAGTACCCTAAACCACTGTATAATACCGGTTTCCATGTCACATTAAATTTCCTTTCCCATTTCACGTGTTGTAGCTTCCATTTCATTTTCCAGTTGATTCTGCAATTCTTGGCAATGTCCTTAGCTAGGGCCATAAACTGACTAAACCCTATACCCTATACTATAGTTGCTTCCATTTTCTTTTCCATTATCCCCATTATAACCCCCAAAATACTATATACCTCTATTCCTAGTGACAATCTGAAGCCATGGGTCCATGGAGTGCTCTGTTTCTTGTGGCCCTGGGATCGGCAGCACCCAGCTGCCGCAATCCACTCTTCCCGGTGCATTGGCCCAGGGCGGGGGCCAGGGCTTGAGCTTGGTGAGGAAGATTATTGTTGAAGTGGAGCAATTAGTATGCAGTGCTGACTGTATGGTTGAAGGGGCACTAGGGGCACTTTTTTCATGAAATATAGCATGCGTCTGATAGATGATGCCTACTTGCGCTGCATGAGCCCAGAGAGCATGTCAGCGACTTGTCCTGCGGCAGGAATGCAGCCGAATGTGCCCTAGCTTTCTCAATGACAAGCCGGAAGTGTCAAAGAACCTGACTGCGTGCCCGTATTGGAGTCGTGACCCAACTGGGAGTGTGGGAGCTTGGGGTTCTTTTACGAAGCGAGGTCAGGCGTAGCATGCAGCTTAAGGTTTAGAGAGTGTCGCTTTATCATGGCCCAGCTTTCCACTTCATGATGCTTCACGCCCATTCGTGCCTTGTCTTTGTTGTCAAGCGCTATAGCGCAAGGTAAGCAGGACGCTAATGATGCAGAGCAGGCCACGTTAATAAGTTGCTTGCCGACAAGCTGTTGTTCCATTGTTAAGGAATGGACTGGCAAGCTGCTGCAGCACCTCGCTAGAGGCCGCACAGCGCAGCGCTTTTGAGCCATGGCCAGCAAGCATTTCGCCAGGTCATCAGAGATGTGTAGACATACGAGGACCATTTGGTAAACAGAAATGCAGATGGCATGTCAAGCTCAGGAAAGGTGGAAGCAGTCCTTGGGAGAGCTTATCGTGAGTTGGCGACGCCGTGCTGCATTCTATCCGTGCACACATGAGGTATGTGCAGCTTGCCTGCGCTGCACTTGTTCTTATACTTGCATCATGCTGGCAGCCCGAGGTTTGGGACTGTGTTTAGCTTACTTCCAGCTGCTATGCTTGGCTCAGAGGTTGGTAGAAAGCGTAGATAGAGACTGCAAACAGTAGCCATGGGGTGCACGGTCAGCCACGATGCAGGTCCACCGGTGAAGGCAGGCCTTACATGTGGCACTTCTCTGCCAGCATATGCAGCAAAGTCCTAAGAATTCCAAGCTGTTGGTTGAAGTCCTTCCTCAGCAAGTATCCCAGACTCGAGGTAATCTTGGATTATCCTTGATGCCCGGAAAAGGCCAGAACCCATGCAGCGAGGATTTCAAAGTACCCATACTATTGCTACAAAACAAGGGGTCGAGTGCACTGCTTGGAGCTGTCAGTGTCTGCTGCGATGCTGGATTGATGATTTCTGGGCTGCATGATTGCCGAACGCTAGACATGTGACATAGTTTTGAGCCCATTTGAAACCTTGCTGATGTGAGAGCTGAATGAGGATCGTGCTTGCTGTGCGGAACCACCTTGTGTTTACGTTGTAGATATCTGGTATGTGGATGCAGGCGTGAGATCCCTGTAGCCGCATGTGCCGTTGCCTAGACTACACAATTCGACTCTGAGGTTCTGCCTTGGGATGCTTTTGGGACTCAGGGGTTTTATGGGTTCTGGGTCTTATAAACCCTAAACCCTAAATAGTAGTTTCCATTTTATTTTCCACTATCCCAATATGATCCCTATATACTATAGTAGTTTCCATTTTGTTTTCCACTATCCCAATATCATCCCCAATATTTTGAAGGTGCAACAGGCTTCTCAGAGTTTGACTTGTCTTTTTCCCGGATTGTGCCTTGCGCTGCTTCCGCCATGCCAATCATGCCAAGCCCCGTGCCCTGAGATGAAGTTGGCCGAAATGATTTCCAACTTTCCACTGCGGCAGCCCTGCATTCCAGGCCTTGATGCAGTTTAGGCTTTATAGGGCTTGGGGAGATTGTCCTTTTTGTGTAGGGTGCCAGATGGGAGGACTTATGGACATCAGCGCCCCATGGTTCCTTGCAGCGGGTAACGTAGGTAGGACAGCAGTTTGTTTCGTGGCCTGATTCCAGGCAGAAGTTACAATTTTAATGGCATGGTACTGCCCAGTAAGCCCCACATGCAACCGCACATTCTCCCTCCGTGCTCCTTGTCTGTCCTCTCAACTTCCAAAGGTTTGAATCATGTAGCTGGCCTTTTCTTGCATCGAGTGTCGACTGACAGGATTTGAAACATTTGTTAGCACATTCTAGGCAGCTATTTACTAGCTAGTTGGCCTCTTTTTTCAGCAGCCCTTCCCTCACCAAATTTCTTGGTCAAGGCTGCTTAGTTTCAAAGTCTTCCAGGCACCAAGTTTGCTTGCCCAGCAACTTCAGAGTCTGCAGGGCACTAAGTCACCAGCTTCCTTGCATCGCTTTTGCGGGCAGGTAATGTTTTACTCGCTGGCGACCTGCCCGAAGCAGTGGTCGCAGAGCTGGCCGCTTTCTGTAAGGGATGGCTATATATCAACCCTGACACAGACCCGACGCCTGGCAGCAGTAGCAGACATCCAGCTCTTCCCTAGCCTGCGGGGTCATAAGTCGACGGATTATACTCGGTGCCTTCAATGTTTCAGCTTGGAGTTCTGGTCTCTTTTGCACAAGCACTGTGATGATTCTGCAAGATGAGCAGCAAATACTGGGGCTTGAGCAAGGCACTTCTTTCCGAAGACCGTCATGGCTGCTGGCTCAGACTTGATGATCCTTCCGTTTCAGTGGCCGGGCATAAACTATTATTCATGACGAGAATCTGTTCTGGAGATGTGGTAAAAAAACGGGAATCCCAATATACACACCAAAATATTGTAAGCCTTCCTATAGGCACCCTCCCAAAAAGTAACCCTAAATTTGGGAAACCCCCATGTGGCGACTGTGGCGGGCTTGCAGTCACAAGCGAAGGCTTGGAAGCCTCGCAGCCAAGGACAGGTGCTTCGGAGGGCTGCATGCGGGCGTTGATTGATGCTCCTTGATGCACAGCTGCTGTACGGTCCGAAAATTTACAGGAATAATGGAAAAGGAAATGAAAACTACTACATCATGATAAGGTTTTGGTTGGGGTTATGTAGGGAAAAGGAAAAAAGAGAATGGAAATTACCACATTATGATAAGGTAATCTCTACTACCTTTTGGTCATATTTTGGGGGGACTCAACAGCATTTGAGCTGTACAGAGCTTCGGTGCTTCAGTAGCTGTTTCGAGGAGATTCCGCAACAAAAACCTCAGCTGTAGGTGGCAGCTATAGTCTACAGGTGATTATATAGGGGACTACTATCGGGGTCATTAAGGGGGATACTCGGAATTTAGACTATGGTTCATATCGGAGCTAGATGAAGTCCTGGTCCTAGCCACTCTGAGGAAGAATAAGAGCCCCAGTTCCATATTTTCTTTTCCATTATACATTTTTCCCGAAAGATATGGTACAATATATAGTAATTTAAATGATATAGGCCTAATAATCAATACTCCCCTATTGCATAATTGCGCCATTCAGTGAACCCTGAGCTGGGGGTAGCTTGTGAACGGGCCTCGTTATATCAGATTCTGCACTATACGGGGCGTGTTCACTATCAGGGGTTGGGGAAGTTTACTATTGTCAGGGTTAGAGGGTTCAATTCCAAACTCACCCATGGGTTGGAGATTGAAGATACTTAGGAAAACCTTTTCAGCCCGTTGGGAGGGGAGTGAGATTTCACTTCCCAGATCGAAGTTCAACTTCCCAGATCGAAGTTCAATCTTCACCTGGGACTTAGGGCTATTGTCTGAACCTGATTTAAAGCCTAAACCCTATATACCCCTATTACCCGTTGAAAGGAACCCCTAACTTTGGGAAACCCTCTATATCCTAAACGTTGGCAAAGGCCATTGACGAGCTGCCGCGCCCACTGGTCATCCAGTGCACGACGGCTAACCGATCAGGTGGCCTTTTCCCATCTGATGTCATAACAGGAGGAACATTCAGGATAATATGGGGATAATGGAAAAGAAAAACGGAAACTACTATAATTGGTTATATAGGGTTTGAGTAGGGGTTATATAGAGGTGATATAAGGGTTATATAGGGATAACGGAAAATCAGGTTGACATTGGGGCTTAGGGGACCAGGTATGTCTCACATGTGGCAGGCATTGCGCTGCTGCTCTGGTTAGCCCATGCGCGGGGCTATACTGCCGAGTGTGCAGATCGTCTGGTCAAGGCATGTTGCGTAAGCGAGTTTAAAGGTTCAGTCTTTGAACATGCCCTTACAGTCCCCCTTAAGTAGATAGAATATGGCTTTGGGTATATCATAATAAGATCCCCATATATACCACATTCTATCTACTTAAGGGGGACTATAGGCTCTTGGGTATGCTTGGATGTTGCCTCCTTCGCCGCTGGATTGAAATGTGCTCTGGGAATTGGGTGCCTCACGCCGAGCCACTCTGCCGGCTAATGTTAGATTGTTGGGGTTATATTGGGGTAATGGAAAATAAAATGGAAACTACTATAGTATATTAGGAATTATATTGGGATAATGGAAAATAAACTGGAAACTACTATAGTATATTGGGGCTATATTGGGGTTATATTGGGGCAATGGAAAAGAAAATGGAAACTACTACATTGCCAGCATTTGCCGTCGTTCCTTTAGGGATTTCCGTTTTTGAATAGGCCTTGCAACTTGAGGCGGTGGTGGTCCAAGAAATTGATGTGAGCTTTAGTCTAAACTCCTCCTAAAAACCCCTGTAGTAGTCCCTATATAATCCCTATATACCCCCCTTAACGGAGTTTAGATTGCAGCTCATATGGGTTGTGTGGAAATCCAGTTTCTGGCAGGATCTGGAGCTGGACACCGTGAAGCTCGAAGCTTTGGCCTGGCTTCGAGAAAAGCTCCCCAAGCTGAGCCCAGGCTTCTGATTTACGGAGGTTCTGACCATATATAGTCCCCCTTAAGT